TTCATCTAATCTCGATTCTACTGATATTTAGACATTGTTCCAAGTAGCCCAGATATTACTGGCACGACATTAAATTTCATGCTACATGGATTTCTGAATTCATCGGAAAATCATGGTATCTTTTTTTTTTTAAATTGGCTTTACATTTTACCTGCGACTTATTATTATTATTATTATTATTATTATTATTATTATTATTATCTAACTTATTTGAATTTTATTTCCTTTCCTTCTCTCTCTCTCTTTCCCATTCACATCCTTTCTTTAAAATGTCTCATTTTCCTTATTTCCCACCCATGACAATCTTTCCCAACTGATTACAACTATTTTCTTCCTTTTCCTTCTCCTCATCACACCTTTCACATTGCATCACCTATTGCCATCCGTACTTTTCCCTCAACTCTCTCTCTCTCTCTCTCTCTCTCTTCCTCTTTCATTCTTTCCGCCCACTCTATCATCCACGTGCCCTCTTTTATTTTCTCTAGCAACCACCGCTCCCTCTTCTGCTTATCAGTTTTACGCACTTTTCGTCTGACACACTGGACGTCTCCGATATCGATCGATATTTGTTCAAGTTAGATCACCTTTTAGCACACTGTCGATTGATTTCGATTTTCTACGGAATAAATTTGCTCTCTGAATTCAATCAACGTTATGGACGAGTTTCCCGATCTCTGCTCCGAGAGAGGTGCATATTTTAAGCGCCAAGTATAGATGACATTACATACGAGACAGCCATGATATATATGTTGCATATATATATATATATATATATATATATATATATATATATATATATATATATATATATATATATACATATATATATATATATACACATATATATAAAGGTACATATCTGTCAATTTTCCAATCTCCGTTTACATCTATAGAACGAAAAAATTGACATATATATATATATATATATATATATATATATATATATATATATATATATATATATATATACAGACGTAACAAAGGTGCTGCTTACAGTTTGAGATGGATAGCTAGAGAAAGAGTGAGAAAGTTGCAGATGTATAAAGGTAGACATGGATCGATTAAGATGCAATGAAGCGGGCCAAAGAAGTTTACAGCTTCATACATATATATATATATATATATAGATAGATAGATAGATAGATAGATAGATAGATAGATAGATAGATCCAGTCTTTTCTCTTACGTATACTCTCTGTAACCGCTTGCGTACTAGTAGCACTCCCCATTTGCTTGGGGTGAAATGCTTATAAAAATCTACCGTATTTTCGTTTTACAAGACGCTGTAGCTTGGAAGACGCACCCTAATATTGGAAAGAAATTTCTAGGAAAAAATACGTCATTCTCATACAACATAACATTCACCATGCGTCCTTAATATAATGGCGCCATGTATTGTTTACATTAATCATTCTTCCGATTTTGTTTGTATAACAATGACATACTAGTCAAGGGCAGAAAGGCCCCCACAGCTGCTAGGGAACAGAGCTTATTTAAGCTTGTGGCTCGGCTCTAGGAAGGTCTTTAGTCCTGGAAATTCTTGTAATAGCTAAGTACTGAGGTTACATCATATAAAAGGTTGAATTAGATGGCTAACATTTATAGTGTAATGACTCAACATACAAATCCGCGTCCCTATCAGTCAAGCCAATTAGGTTGACGGTCCAAGCTTACTTGAGCCTAGGCGTTGCCTTGCATTCATCTTGGAAGACGCACAAATCAAATCCTATGGGCGGTTAGACTGGCTGTTCGTTTCTAAGAACCCGCGTTTCTGTACCCACATGCGTCGAAAACGACGGGAGAGTCATGCATGCATATATATATATATATATATATATATAGATAGATAGATAGATAGATAGATAGTGATTTTCCAAGTGTAGCTCAGATGTGGCACAAGGCCGAAAGTATGGGGCACCCAGTGAGGATCGAAATTACTACTGTTGTAATTTTTCTAGAGAGACAAGCTTGCTAACCATTACACCACTTCGAGGTGCCATATATATATATATATATATATATATATATATATATATATATATATATATATATATATATATATATATATATATATATATATATATATATATTGTACAGTTAATCTTCCGTTTAGTTTCCTCTTCTTTGTTTGCTTTATTACCATCATTCCGGCCGCTTTACCCACTCACCCAGGTCTTTTGAAGTGTCTGTCGCATTCGTTAACATTCCGATAATATCCGAGGTTATGTGATTCTTGTCCCCACACATGATGCAGAGACTGAACTAATTACTCCCAGGAAACTATATGAGTTTTACTATTGCTTCCTTCCACTCATCTGTATCCCACAGGAAATTCACAGGAAAATAATTTCAGCTCACTTCAGAGTCAAAGATATCCTCTTGGTGTATATACATATCTCCGATATATAAATACAGGCTTTTATCGCATATCTATGCAAAATGATCTCCCTTTGAAAAACAGTCGGCGAATAGGATTAATTAATTTTCTTATTGAGTCATTCTGTGCGCATGCGCGCATTAAAATGTGTAGCAATTTAGATCTTCAAAGTCGACGTACGAGTCTAAACATTTTAATTATCTATCCAAACTATTTGTCGCAAAGTCGTTACAGAACTCGGCCAGCAGCCAATGCCACGAACGCCGGACTTTAGCCGAGAGCCAACTGTCTAGTCTGCAGAATTAATTGACCAAAAATATTTAGTAAGGGACGAAAATTTTAATTTCTATCTCTTGCTTGACTCATAATTATGAAGCGAACAAATGCATTCCTCTTTGTCTTAATCGTGGCCCTCGTTGTCGAGGTCACTATAATCAAAAGACCTATTTCAAAATTGTCCATTCCAGCCTCTATCTGTCTCTCTATTTCTCCCTGTCACTCTGTTTCTCTCTGTCTGTCTGTCTCTCTCCCCCCTCTCTCTCTCTCTCTCTCTCTCTCTCTCTCTCTCTCACCCAAGCCACGTCATCGTTGTATGAGCGTTTGGCTAAAATCCAATCAGTTATATTTCGTCAGTATATTGTTTGCTATTCATATTATTGTAACTCCTAAATAGTTGACTATGCATTCTTACCAAGGAAAGTTACGCAAAGTCATGCACCTTTGAAAGAAACAAGAAAATATGATGAAAATCTCTGTCTCTGTCTCTCTCTCTCCCTCTCTCTCTCTCTACATATATACAGACAAAAGTTCATTTTCTCCATCAAGACATTCACTTCTGTAGTTTACTGCTACCAGCAAGCAGAATTTTTTTTTCTCCTCATGATGACCATGTTGGCCAAAACTAGTCGAGAAATCTAAATGAAATAATAATAATAAAAACGAAAGAATATGAATCTACAACCCAGTGTGTCTTAAGATTTTAATTTTTTAAATATTTTTTATTGTTCTATAATATATATATATATTTATATAATGGAATTGGCAAATAGGATTTTACCTATTTGCATATGTTGGTTATAAGATAGATAAATTATGGGGTAAAGTGTAAGGCACGGGTAAGTTGACTACTGATCACGAATTGTAGGTCAACACAATATGGCGTCGCCGATAGGATGTTTAAGTCGCTTGGACGAAACAGAGTTTGTCGAGACTGGGATCCGGTGTTTTGAAACCCAGGCTAGGGCTAAAATATTGAAAGCCAGTAAGACAAGAGGGGGAGACAAAAATGAAATAACCGACCTCTTACTAGCTTCGGTAGGTTGTGAAGCTATAATGAAAATTACCGTTATACCCCAACCAATTGGAGAAATTGATTTTTCTCGAACTTTCAGAAATGGTAAAAAAGAAGTTTACAGCTTAAAAAGAAACTTGTCGTAGTGGAAAGAACCACATTTCTTTCCATTGAACAGAAACAAGATGAATCCATTATACAATATCTTCATGGCTTCAAAGAATCGAGCAGATCCTGCGAATTTCAAAAATTGGGAACTCATTTGTCTATAGAAGAAAAATTGATTCAATTACAGTTGATTGAGGTATATATTGATATATCTCATAATATCTCATAAATAGAACATATTGGAACATTTACAACTGAATAATTTTTCTCTGACTGCATGTCTGGAAGTTATACAACAGTTTCTCTCTCTGTCTCTTTATCTCTTTATCTCTTTCTCTCTCTCTCTCTCTCTCTCTCTCTCTCTCCCTCCCCAAATAGGTGAGTATTATTGTGATTCGTGTTTTGTCTGTTTTGTTACTGACATAAATCGTTCTAATAGAATATTTTGTGATTTGTTATTGATTGTGGTCTTGTTTCACTTTGCAGATGGCCTCCGCGCAACCATCTCTATGTATTTACGTCTGTACTTGTTTTCGTTTATACCTTCTTATACAGTTGTTTTATTTTCCATTTTTGTGGGGATGGCTCTCTCATGTAATGTTTGTTCTGTTACCATCTTGGATGTATATAGTTAGTGAATGTCATCGCTGATTTATCGCTTTCCTTTGACTTGTAATGCAGTTTTTTGAAAATAGTGTCTATATAGAAATTATATTGCATCTATAAGAATTCGTATCGTTTTTATGCTACCTTCTCAGTCAGCCATCATCATATTTACTACAGCAATTACAATTTTTTCTGTCTTACCAATATAAAGCCTATCTAGACCAGGAAGCATTTACTTCGGGGATAACCTTCTGCATTTCGTAGACACTTCTAAAAATTAAATATTACGCGCCTTTTTCAAAAACCTTTTTCTCGGAAGGGTTTTATCATATATTTAATAGTAATAATAATAGTAATGGAATTAAACCATTGATTCATAAATTTTCTGTAAATTTTAGCTCTTTTTCTCTACTTGCCGGCTAATGGGAATTTTAAGTTTGGCAAAATATAAATTTTAGGTAACTACCTCTGTTAAAATTCGAACCACTCACTAATGGGTTAAATTGTTTTGAAATCCTATCTTAGCAGGAATTAATTGAAACTAACTTATGAAATTTACTCATTATTGGTTTGATACTGTCTGTCTATATTTCTGAGATGAGGTATTATGTACATTATTTACATTATTCGAACTATTGTCCTCATCTTTGGGTAATACATAGATAGACAGACAGACAATATGAGATAGATAGATAGATAGATAGATAGATAGATAGATAGATAGATAGATATTATTGGATTTCTGCCAGAATATACAAAAAGTATGAATTTAGTTTAATGTGTTAAGAACCTTGACCTAAAACGCATTTATTTGTATGACCCCAGTGTCTAATCCTAAAAGCTACTAAAGTAAATGCTGTACTCACTGTTACTTCAGAACGTAAGAGGCCTCGGAGCCTCGTGGCTGACCAAGAAGGTAACTTCAAAACCAACAAGTGCAGAATCGTTCCTCGAAGGATTACGGTTAGTTCACCAATATAAACAAGAAATGACTAGAGCTTATCTTAGAATATACACACATAAGACAACCAGGAAGTTAGATAAACACCCAAACTACAAGGGGAAAGACAGAATTCTTCACATGCTCACAAGAAGAAAATCGAACATTCGAAGAAACCCCCGAAACCACATACCCTTGATTCAGCCGATATTTAATTTAACGGAGTCCAAAAATTTATTAACACTTTTTTTGTTTGTAATCAAATTCAGCCCAAGCAAAGCAGTCAAGCCACTGAGACATAAAGGGTTACTGGGTGTGGAAGAATTTGAAAACAAAAACATTACCAAGGAACGACACCAAAAGAAGAGTAATCAGGAAGACAGTAGATAGCGATTGACATTGCATTTAAATTTTTGAAGATTAGAATTGGCTGGAAAGGAAGAATCCGGAAGAGATTTCCACAAGCAAGAAGTGCGGGAAAATAAAACTTTAGCATAGAACTTACGATTACATCTACTCAGCTCAACTGTAAATTGCCGAGGCCCCGTCGCCAGTTTAGTACTGCGATGAAAGCCTAGACACCATAGCGAAAAAATCTCATCCGAACAATTACCATGAAAGTACTTATAGGAAAAGCACCGTGAGGCAACTTTACGTGCGTGGGCAAGTGACTGAAGCCGAGACGCCAGATCAGGACCAATAATATTGCTGATTCTTCTTTAGATTTTATTGAGGATCTCTAAGTATATGGAAGGAGCATCAGACCATATATGGTAGCAATATTCTAAGCATGGATGAAGGGTAAACTTATAGATATGCAAGATAGATTTTGAAAAGAAATAGTGTGTCGCCCGAAACAGTCAACCAAGATTATTAGCAGCTGACCAAGCAGTCGATTTAATATAGTTTTTTTTTTTTTTTTGTTTTTTTTACTTCATTTCAGCCAAGATCGTGAGCCCAAGAAGGCGAAACGAGTCACTGTCCCGGTGATGGTGCGTGGTGATTGGGGGGGGGTGACTCAGCCATTCTGATGGAAGACAGAAAAGTGCTTCTCAGAGGATTAAACAGAAAGTAGTTGAGTTTTTGAGACGTTAAAATTAACAAGCCATTCTTTGTGTCAATTAACAAAAGACTTTTGTCATTTCTTAATTGTGCCATTTTTTGACGTCAACCACCAATTTGACTTTATCAAATTGATTAGACTTACTATGTATTCTTCTTAGACGTTACTAATATAGCATTAGAGTTACATACATGCTGAGCAGACTGAGACATATATATATATATATATATATATATATATATAGAGAGAGAGAGAGAGAGAAAAGAAAGAATATTGGACAACATAATGGGAAAAATACAAATTTTACGGGTACGCGCCTAGATAGATAGATAGATAGATAGATAGATAGATAGATAGATAATGAAAAGACTGGGATAGATAGATAGATAGATAGATAGATAGATAGATAGATAGATAGATAGATAGATAGATAGATAATGAACAGACTGGGGATATGATAGATAGATAGATAGATAGATAGATAGATAGATAGATAGATAATAATGAACAGACTGGGATAGATAGATAGATGATAGATAGATAGATAGATAGATAGATAGAGATAGATAGATAGATAGATACGAGGGTCGATTTCTGTCGTACCCACTTAAACTCTGGCTATTTATTTTGATATTCTGTTATGGTCGAGCTTAGAATTTTCAGTACATCCTTTAGATAGATATTCCGCAATCTCACATACAGACAATCATGCACAAACACACCACCAGCCTACCCCATATATATATATATATATATATATATATATATATATATATATATATATATATATATATATACTCAGCTACAAAGTTTCAATTGGCGGGCGATACGAATCAATTAGTCTTTTCTGTCTGCTTAATTTGGAAATTTCAGTACATCTTATTTGCCAAGAATATAATCTAAAAATACTTTATTTAAATTGTTTATGCTAAACGTGCAAGATTAGACAAAATTTCTCAGAATGCTTCTTCAGATTTCGTGTCCTTTTTATTCATTGCATTCTGTCGAATAATAATAATAATAGTACTACTACTAATACTACTACTACTACTACTAACAATAATAATAATAATAATAATAATAATAATAATAATAATAATTACCCATCAATGGCTACGTAGTGCAGGGTTGAAAGCTGAAACTGAAGGTTTTATCCTTATAACTAGGAATTATCAAGCAAATATACTAAAATATTGTGTCAGCCCAAAATGCAGATTCTGTGATAAATATCCAGAAACGATTGATCATCTTGTCTCAGGTTGCATGATATTGGCACCAACTGAATATAAAACCCGACATGACAGAGTGGGCCAATATCTGCACTGGAAAATCTGCAACTTCTACGGGAAGGAAACTGAAAGAAAATGTTATGAACACCACCCAGACCCGGTTACGGAGATAGGACCTGTTACAATTCTATGGGACTGCACAATACACACTGACAGAACAATCAAAGCCAACCGGCCAGATATTGTTATCAAAGACCACAAACAAAAACGATGCCTTCTTATTGATATGGCAGTCCCTGCTGACTGCAATGTATCTTTGAAGATATTCAAAAAGCTGTCAAAATACAAGGAACTTGAAATAGAAATCTCAAAAATGTGGCACATGGGAACATCAACAATCCCTGTTGTAGTTGGAGACCTAGGACTGGTTGGAAAAGATTGCAGTAGACTAATTGAAGGGATTCCTGGAAGTCCATGCCTCAAGCAGATACAAAAAATTGTTCTGACAAGTACAGCCCACACTTTACAAAGGGCTTTGTCTATGTAATTTTTTTTTTTCAGTGGAGAGTGTCAAGACGCCATTTCTAACCTTAGGTCCCTGGGCGGGACCCTGAAAGAAATGTGTAAACGCAAGAAATCAAAGAAAATAAAAATAATAATAATAATAGTACTACTAATAATAATACTACTAATAATAATACTACTACTACTACTACTACTAATAATAATAATAATACAACTACTACTACTAATAATAATACTAATAATAATAGTACTACTACTAATACTACTACTACTACTAATAATAATAATATCAAGAAATGAAGGGAACTGAAAAAGTCAAGAAATACATTAAGTCTTGTATTGAAGTTAGTAGAAAGTCGGATGTGCACATAACTATTCCTGCTTATGCCACCGATCTTCCATGAAGAAAATCGGAATAAAGCCTAATATCACATCGCTTCAGAAGACTGCGTTCCTTCACACTGCAAACCATTTACAGCTGACCTAAATAAGGATCTACTGTCTGTTGTTAACCGGGACAAGTAATGGCTTGTTAATTTTAACGTCCCTAAAACGAAACTGCTCTCTTTTAATCGTCTAAGAAAAACTTTTTTTCTCGTCCAACTGATAGGTTTGATTCTAGGAAAGTTGATGCACTGTGTCGTACTAGAGAATTCTTCTCGTCAGATGTTATCATGCATATTTATAATCCTGCCATTGGTCCTTGCTTTGAATATTGCCGTTACATCTGGTCTTCTGCTACTGTTATTTATTTAGAGATTCTTGATAAAATCCAGAGAAGAATCTGCAGTGTTATTGGTCCTGACCTGACATATCGCCTTCAGTCACTTTCCCACTGCCGGAATATAGCTTCTTGTGCCTTTTTTTTATTATTATAAATACGTCTATGGTAATAATTCTGATTAACTTATCTCTGTGGTACCTAGACTTTATAAATTTAACTGAGGTACTAGATTGGTGCCATCATTTTACAGTTGAATTGGCTAGATGTGACTGTCTCTGCTAACAGCTTCATCTGTCGCACTTCCCACATTGTCTTCTGTCTTCTCAATTCCTGTTCTTTTATTATTCTCTTTAGTTGTTTTTTTTTTCTCATCTTCTCTAACACTCAGTAACCCCTTGCATCTTAGTGGCTTCTTATTTAATATTTTAGAGTTTAAAAATATCGTTTTTTCTCTTTACGTATCACTAATTTTGTGATCTTATTGCTCAGCCCACGTTAGGGGTTGTCCAGAGCGGGTGAGAAGGGAATATATAATCCCAATGTCTTATTTCTAATTCAGTGAAGTTGTGTATATATGTGCGACTTTTATTGACAGATTCGTTTTTTCTTATCAAGCATTTGCAGGTTATTTAAAATCAGGTAATATTTTTAGATTGTAAAATTTTTTTTGTATCTGGGGAAGATTATAATATATTGGTGATGCAAGTCTTACTAATTAACCCATAGTTGGGGGATAAGTGGTGGATTCATACCTTTCCGAAAGGAAACCTTAGCGTAAGTGTATATAACGAACTCGACTGAGATTGGAACTAGGTTCTCTGATTAACAATTACTCCATCTGAGTTCTTATTGATTGATTCGTTTTTTACGGTTTATCAACCTTTTCCAGGTTATTTAAAGCCAGAAAAAATTTTAGATAATTTTTTTTCTTTTTTTTTTTTGAGATAATAATGGTTTAGTGATACGGCAACGAATGTTGGACGATTTCCTCAAAGATGAAGAAGAGACTCGAAGCGACAGAGATCTGTTTTTTCAGAAGGATGCGAATGATATCATGGAACGAGCGAGCGTTTGAGCAACGGTGAGATCTTAGAGAGGTTGCAAACAAGAAGGAGGCTTACACTTAATATCAGGAAGAGGCAGCTGAAGTTTCTGGGACACATAATGAGGAATGAGGGCCTGGAGAATCTGATACTCACTGGTCGAATAGAGGGGAAAGAGAGACAAGGGAAAACAGCACGTGACATACCTGGCGGACTTGATGACAGAACCGGATCTGGGGGGGGGAAGCAGAGGAAAGGAACTTGTTGAGAGCTGCAAGGGATAGAGGGAGGTGGAGAGCCATGCTCGCCTACGTCCCGAAAGGACATGGCACATGAAAAGAAAAGATACAAGACTTTGTAATTAACTTATCATTGGGGGTGGGAGGGAGGAGGTGGATTCATGCCTTTTCCAAGGCTATTTCCTTGTAAGTGAATATAACGAACCCAACGGGAATTGGAACTCGGCTGCCCAATTAACAATTCCGAGTCATTATCCATTACACCACCCGCACACCCAAGCTTACATCACCTGGCATACCCAAGCCGTCACCCGTCTAGGTACTGACCTGACTCGTCGTTGCTTATCTTCAGTGATCGTCCTGGGGGCATATATGTTTGCGTGTGCACATGTGTAGATGTCATGTGTATGTGTGTATATTTAATAACACAAGCACATGTAAGTCAGTCACACACAACACTGACATAGGCATACACATTACATAGGCTACTGCAAAGTTACACGCAAACTGTCATAGTTCCAGCTATTATTTTAGAATATACATATATTAGTTTTTAATTTTGTTAGTATATTTCAGTTATATGTATTATACAGGGTGTTTCAAAAAGAATACACCAAAATCATTACACTGTTTTTCAGGTCTATAGCATTGTAGTGGACTGAATCAGTGGTTATTTGATAGAGTAGTTATAAAAGTTTGATTGGGTGTCAGTTTCACCGCTGTCGTTAGTATAACTTCCGGTGCAGCTACAAACAGGACAAACCTTTCTCGAAATGCTCCAAAAATGGCTATTCACTTTACTGCAAGCAGATTCGAATGACTTCATTTTTCAGCAAGATGGAGCACTACCTCATTGGCATCTCGGGGTTAGAGCTTATCTGAATGAAAACGTGCCTCAGCGATGGATTGGGAGGAGAGGTGCTAAAGACCTTGCTCTCTGTGCTTGGCCTGCCAGATCCTCGGACCTCACTGTGTGTGACTTTTTCTTGTGGGGGTATGTTAAAGACCAAATTTATGTTCCAGCACTTCCAGCAAGTATCGATGACTTGAAAGATCGAATAACATCTACAATCAACACGGAGGACCATGACATGCTGAGGCGCATTTGGGAGGAATTCTCATATCGGCTTGATGTTGTCCGCACTGCCAGTGGTGGCCACATTGAACACTTATAAAACATGAAATGAAACTTGAATGTATATATAACACATGTGTTCATGCTAGATGTTTGTAATTTTTTCGTTTTTGACATATCACGTGATGATTTTGGCGTATTCTTTTTGAAACACCCTGTATATTGGAATATGAAAATGTTTAATATTAACTTCACTATATAAAAAAAGAAGGAAAAATAGTTTCGAAATGTTTGTGCTGGGGTACTGGTATACATTTATTCAGGCGACAAAATTATCTTCCCTTGGTTAAACTCCCAATGACATTTCATTATCTTAATTAACTTTTAAAAGATCAGCAGATGGCACGTAAATTGCTAAAATGAAGCTATGGCAATTTGAAAACAAAATGTTCATGTTCTTTCGTTATATTCAGGTAATAATCGTCAAACATAATTGCCAATGCCCGACGGACGAGTTTGAAGAGCGGTAATGGCAGAATTCAACAACCAGAAGTACCCCAAGCCATAAAATAAAGAATAACAAGAATTTAAAAGAAGCAGTTAAATAAGCGAAGAATGTTGGGAGTGGAAAATAATATTCGATAAAGAGAAAAATTGGAAAAAAATATTTAGTGAATGAATCAAATTGAATAGTAAGAAAGGAAAAAGAAATAAAAATTTTAATGATAAAATATGAACTAGAGAGAAAAGGAGGAAAGAGAAAGAATTGAAAGAAAGAAAGAAAGAAAGAAAGAAAGAAAGAAAGAAGCAAACAGATAAAGGGTAAAAAGTGAAAGAAAGAAAGAAAGAAGCAAACAGATAAAGGGTAAAAAGTGAAAGAAAGAAAGAAAGAAAGAAGCAAACAGATAAAGGGTAAAAAGTGAAAGAAAGAAAGAAAGAAAGAAAGAAGCAAACAGATAAAGGGTAAAAAGTGAAAGAAAGAAAGAAAGAAAGAAAGAAAGAAAGATAGAAGCAAACAGATAAAGGGTAAAAAGTGAAAGAAAGAAAGAAAGAAAGAAAGAAAGAAAGAAAGAAAGAAAGAAAGAAAGAAAGAAAGAAGCAAACAGATAAAGGGTAAAAAGTGAAAGAAAGAAAGAAAGAATGGAAAACGTTTTATAGAAAAAACAAGGAAACAAGGAAAAGAGCCACCACAGAGAACCCTCCCTGCCTCCCATTAGAATGTCTGATGCTCAACTCAACAAGAACGCCTCTCTGCGACTGCTTGGTCTCACACTGTCCGCTGACCTGAGATTGAACAAATACATTGAATCAATAGCTTCATCTATTGCAAGGAAAGCTGGTTCTATATGCTGCGCCCAAAAGCTTTTCTCGCCTGAGTCCATCCTTCAAATCTGTAAATCAACCATTCGCTCTTGTATAGATTACGCTTGTCACATATGGTCTGGAGCCCCCGATGTCCGTCTCAAGGTCCTCGACAAAATCCAGAGACAGATATGCAATGTGATTGATCCTGATCTGGCAACTCGTCTACAGTCACTTTCTCACAGACATGCCGTCGCTTCCCTCTGTCTTTTCTAGAAATACTTTCACTGTAACTGCTCCGACGAGCTATTTTCTCTAGTTCCCAAACTGAATGAATTTAAGCGTGCTACTAGGTTAGCATGTCTGTCCCACCCTTTCACTGTCGAAAGGGTTAAATTTAGCCGTCTCTTCTACTCCAATAGCACTTCCCGTCTGTGGAACGCCCTTCATTTTACTTGCTTCACTGATAGCTATAATTTTCAATTATTCAAATGCAATGTCAGTGGTTAGCGGCACGGATTGAGGAATGGGAGAGCCGAGTTCGAATTCCAGTCGAATCCCTTACATTCACTTACGTGCTAACACCCTTGGGAAAGATATGAATCCTCTTCTTCTCTCCCCCCACCAGTTATAGGTAAATAGCAGGACTGACCGGCTTCTATTGCCTTGGATGGCAACTGGTCTACCGCAGAAAGAAATGGCAACCTACTGCGGTAAAAAAACTGCCTCGTTAATTATGTATCGAAAGATACATGATTGCCTAAGCGTGTATCACGCATGGCACATAACTGACTGAATGTCAATCGACATCTTCAGATGACTTGATCTAATTCCCCGCCTCTTGCTCCCACTCTCTGTAACCTCTTCCGTGTTAGTGACACTCCCGCCTTGCTTGGGGTAAAATGCTTAAAAAAAAAAGGAAAAAGGAAAGAAAGAAAAAGATTTTAGAGAAAGTTAAATGGAAGGAAACAACAAAAAGAGCAAAAACGGGGTTTAAAAATGTCAAAAAGAAAGAAAGAAGGAAAATATAAAAGAAATTTTATTGGACAGCGAAAAAAGAGAAAAAAAAGAAGAGAGAGAAAAGCATAAAAATGAGTTATAAAGATGGAAGACAGAAAGTATGGAGGCTCATAGAAGAAATTAATGCTGGCCGAAAATATCTAATTTTGAATTATGGCGCACAATGTCGATCAATGCTTATTAAAAAAATATGTTCCACCAGCATCAGACAAAATAATGTGACCTTGTACCAAAATGCTCAGTAGTTAGTAATGATTTTTGGGTGTGCGTCTAGAAGAAACGATCTTCAGTGGGAAATCAATAATAACTGAGGCCTTGTACCAGACTAAAAAAGACCAGTTAAACGATAATTAGCATGAAGAAAAAATGTTGCTTTCAAGAGAGACATTCTGAAACAATAGACGGATAACCCTGAAGAAAGAAAGAAAGAAAGAAAGAAAGAAAGAAAGAACGAATATTTAAAAGAAATAAAAAAAGAATGAATGCTTATAAAAACGAAAGAACAATGCTTATAAGAAAGAAAGAAAGAAAGAAAAAGAAAGAAAGAAAGAAAGAGGGCTTATAAGAAAAAAGACTGCTTATAAGAAAGAATGTTTATAAGAAAGAATGCTTATGAGAAAGAAAAAAGGGAGAATGAAAGAATGCTTATGCGAAAGAACGAATGCTTATAAGAAAGAAAAACGGAAGAATGAAAGAATGCTTATAAGAAAGAAAGAAAGAAAGAATGCTTATAAGAAAGAAAGAAAGAAAGAAAGAAAGAATGCTTATAAGAAAGAAAGAAAGAAAGAATGCTTATAAGAAAGAAAGAAAGAAAGAAAGAAAGAATGCTTATAAGAAAGAAAGAAAGAAAGAAAGAAAGAAAGAATGCTTATAAGAAAGAAAGAAAGAAAGAATGCTTATAAGAAAGAAAAAAGAATAAAGAAAGAATGCTTGCAAGAAAGAAAGAAAGAAAGAAAGAAAGAAAGAAAGAAAAAAGAAAGAAAGAAAAAAAGAAAACAAGCAAGAAAGAATGCTTATATGGAAAAAAAACGAAAGAAGTCTTTTAAAAAAGAGAAAAACTCTTATGAAAGAAATGAAGAACAAAGGAAAAACATAGTCTTTAACGAAAGAATTAAGTATTTAAAAAAAGCAGAAAAACGCCTGGAATAAATAACTAAAGGACAGAAAGAAAGAAGGTGAATGCCAGAAAGAAAAGAAAAAGAAAAACATTAGTGAGTAAGAGGGAGATGTGGTACTTTCCCCGATGGCTGATGTAGATAATTCCTAATGAAATAAAAAGATGTCTGCTCAAAGCTTGTTTGCTTGGAGCTTTGTGTATCTCACCAGATCAAAAGTCGGTTGAAGAGTTGGAAAATCAATTCTCGTGAGAAAATTATTCCATAGGTCGGGTGCTTGGGTGGACGCTTAACTAGGGAACATTACAAAGTGATAAGCAAGTCCATTACTTATCTCCCGAGTAAACAGTATATGGAAGGAACCAATGATACAACGCACTAATTGCATTAATGATCTATTTCCAGATCGCCCTATCTACGCCATCTTCATCTTTCGTTGATGAGGACAAAGATGGCAAAGTATATAAATCGTAAGCATTGGATATAAATCACAAGACAAAATTTATTTAACTATCGATAATTAGGGGACTATATATATATATATATATATATATATATATATATATATATATATATATATATATATGCGCATAGACGTATTGATATGGGGAGAAAACGTTCTTCTCGTTCCCCAAGGTCAGCCCCAAAAAATGTTGGGGTTGGGGAATTGGCCTTACCCTATATGCCTCACGTCTTGTTAGAAATGTTTCTTTATTCAGTATGCCATTTTTTCTAAAAATTGTTATTCTAGTGAATCTAAGTAGTTCAGTCTTACCCAAAGCGAAATTGGCCATCAGTGGATTCATGCCTTTCCTCCAAGGACAATAGTGTGAAGTGAACGCAATAGCATTGTGCAGCATTTTAATTCGGCTTGTAGATTCTATTTTTTATGCAAATATAACTGCTAGACCACCTATATATATATATATATATATATATATATATATATATATATATATATATATATATATATAAATATTGCAATTTAAAAGAGTTATTTCTGAAGAAAGATTAAGGTCAATCTGAAATATCAAATATATAAATAAACTCTTTCATAAAAAACATTATTTTTTTTAATTTGCAACTTTTTCTATATATACATATTAAGAAAGTATACTATATATATAATATATATCATTATGCTATATATATATATATATATATATATATATAATATGAGTTTTCTCACATAATCATTTACGATATATATATATATATATATATACATATATATATATATATATATATATATATATATATATATATATATATATATAATGAACTCTTTCGTCGATTTCTACGTATGAGGATCCGACAACCTCATTCAGTTTTTTTTTTATGTTTGTCTCGTATGTGACACGTCAGTCCTGCTAGTGACCTGCATACAAGTCACCATACTCTGTAACAGTGAAGATCTCGGGACATATAGGAATATTTGCGGAGAATTTTCACCATTGTCTTTCGTCTCTTAGACGGTCAATACGACTGATTTCGAAATTTCTGATACCACTATGCCACAAATATCTCCAGTTATTTCTATCCAGAGAAACTTGATCGAAATTAGTATGCGGCACATTGACAGCTGAGAGGTTACACTTTAGCTTGTCTTTATTCCTGAGCCACAGGCGTCCAACACTCCTTTGTCCACTGTCAAGCTGCTATATATATATATATATATATATATATATATATATATATATATATATATAAAAAAAAGAAAGAACAGTAAGATATAAAATCCGGTGTTCTTATAGATATTTTATTTTTACAAAAAATAGTGCTCAATGTAAATTTACAGAGCATTAATATTACAAATTAATTGATTTAAAATATGGTTTTTTTTCGCATCTTCAAGCGAATTTTGGAGTAACTTTTAAAAATTACCGGGTTTTAAAGACACAGCTAAAATCACGTTTCCATGGTTACAGAATATTCTACTTAAATTGAACAAGGGATGTCTAGATTTTCCTTATGTCAGTATATATATATATATATATATATATATATATATATATATATATATAAGGTCAACACAAAGCGACGACAATAAAATACCTTAGAGGACGAAACGCGCCTGCTAAGTATAGTTTTTTCTCTTTTTTTTAGAATATATATATATATATATATATATATATAGATAGATAGATAGATAGATAGATAGATATTCTCAGAGTGTATTTTTGGAAGAGAGAAAATGAGTAAAAAGAGGAAAAATTATAATTAGCAGACGCGTTTCGTCCTCTAAGGGACTTTTATTTTCGTCGCTTGGTGTTGAGATATCAGATATATATATATATATATATATATATATATATATATCCATTTTGCCTCTTCCATAGATACACTCTGAGAATATATATATATATATATATATATATATATATATATATATATATATATATATATATATATATATGACCTCAACACCAAGCGAGACAATTTTTTTTCATGCTTCAACGCAATCGTCAGTCCAATCTTCGGTGTGCGCTCTATAAAGTATCTATTCTTGGGAAGCAGCTGACAGAATGGAACCTCTGAGGAGAATAAATATAACTCGCCCCAGTGTATATAGCAGGTCGGGTCTTAGCTGTAAAGGTCTGAACTGGGGGAACTCAGGAATGTATCAGACCTTTACACTTCATGTAGCCCGTCTGAACGTTTTCCATGGCAATAGCGATAGACACCGTGAAGCTTGCAAATTGTTTATATTCCATAACGTGAAGTCCGATGAAAGATAATGTAAGTATAAGTATATATCGGTTATGCATCCTGATCTCTTCTATATGCTAATGTAATGTTCTGTTATTAAGGTTACAAAAATCACAAATAAGATAATTGTTGAAACTTGAATAAAGCATGGAATAATAATAATACAACACAAAATGAACTTAAACAAAATGTATTGACACAAGAACGTGTACACAATATTTACAGATAGTTGGTATATTCTTGGGAAGACCGTTCCTGTAGAATGGGTTGACTTAGTCGCAATCGGGCAGAGTCTCTGGATTGGATCTCTTCTTCCTCCCCCGTCTTCCCGGTACCAACCATATTTATATGGTCGGTACTCCACTATGTAAAATAAGGTGGATCGTACCACAACAATAATGTACCTCTTAGAGTAACGGAATATATCGTTAGTTAGGAGAGCTAAGCACGATAATGCGTTCTTTTTCTCCATTCGTTTTGATATTCTTTTGATTTTTTTACTGATATAAAAAGCAGAATCCATTCATTCACATGACTACTTTCATTGGTACCACAAAACCACAAAGATATATACCAAATAACAAAACCCACATCACTTGAAATCTTCCAATGAGAGCAACAATTGAAATCGCTAGTAAAGAGTGTTTCATTAAGTCGGATCAAAGGTAGAATTAAATAAATCAGTGTTATTGGTAAAAAATTATTTATTTTCTGTTGGATCATATTATTTAAGTCACGTGAAAAATAATATCGCCCAAATATCCGCTGAGGCTTCGGCAGCACACCTCCACTCGATGATCAAAATGTTGATGATGTCTCTGCATAGTTGATCCTCGATCTCATCAATATGCTTTATTATCTCATCCGTCAGCTGTTGAATTGTTGTTGCCTTGTTGGCATAGATCTTACTTTTGAGATGACTCCAAAGGTAAAAATCGTGGTGGCCAATTGACTTCGCTGTTTTGAGAAATGATACGACCTGGGAACTTCTCATTGCATTTCTGTTTGAACGTCTATTTTCGTAATAGGCTTCGATAACTTTAACGCGTTGTTTGATTGTTAATCTCTCCATAGTTGAAATTGCCAAAGACTCAAGTTGTTAAATCTGAAAAAAAAAGAAAAAAATCATTAGACGCTTAAACTTAATTCACATTTAAAATCTGTCCAAGTTATTTGAACACTCGTTACATGTAACTTGAATGGAAATAGTGACATAATTATGATGTTGACATTTCTCGCACAAAGGGGAACGCAGGTTCAAACCCTGCCGGAGACCACATTTCTCGAATGCGCGGTTTATCGAATATGCAGGCCGATATACCTAATACACACTTTAAAAAAAAAATAAGAATAAACAAGTTTCGTCTATTTCAAAGTCGAGTTTCCATTCTAATAATGGTTGAATTATTTAAAATGTCGGTTTAATAATAAATTCATTATTTCTTTAGAATTATATATTGTTTAAAATTTGCAATGTTTATAAGGGAATAGTGCAGAGAGAGCGATCTATAGACTTCCTGTCCATATAAAACAAAGCAAGCCACACTCAACAGGATTATAATTCAAAACAGTTATAACATATTATAATGCATTTAAACATATGGTTCTGTTGATAACATTTCTTCCAGTCACGTGGTCATGTACAGCGTCATAGAACCTCATTATGTATTTACGACCTGCCTTTGCTATTCCGCGACCGTTATCATCGCATAGCAAACTACTATGTAAGCAAAACAGGATGTCATCTTTGATGGTGAACATCTCTATTGTAATGTCCATAAAACCAGCCTGATGATGGCTCATGTGAGTCGAAAGCTTAGATCGACGACCAAGATAATAAAGAAATATCGAAATGTTGGACAGTTTCTGTCTTTATTTTCTCATGAAACTAAAGCTATTATACGACGCTTGGAAAGGCTCATGATAAAGCCTAATATACATTCGTTTTTGCTATATTTAACAATATATGTTTGAACAATACGCACACACACAGAAACACACATACACACACACACACACACATATATATATATATATATATATATATATATATATATACATACATATATATATATATATATATATATATATATATATATATATATATATATATAAAACTAGGATTAGTAAAAAATATAAATTTTGTCAGTTATCTGATTGATATTATATTCAGCAGCACACCGACTCTAGAGTTTGGTATACAAATCTTCTTGTAATCGTTCAGTCCACTCATCAGAAGATTTCCAAAATTGACTATTTTCTCATTTTCGTTATTTTTATATTGTGTTAAAAATAATTTATAATTTACATATATATATATATATATATATATATATATATATATATATATATATATATATATATATGCTGGGGAATCGATGAAGATGGCATTTACTTCTTGTGACAGTTGGGTTGTTCACGCCGGGTTGGATTATAAATTAATCCTTAATCTGCTTTGTTCCGGCTTCGGGCTGCTTACTGTCCGAGTTAAAACCACGAATAAGTTGATACTTCTTATTTGTTGATCTCTTGTTATGGTTTACTTCTAAATGTTTTCATCTTCTGTAAGGAACACTGACATTTCTTCTTTTGTGCATTATGCCCTTTTAGGGCTTTGGTATTCATGGCTCTCCCCAACTTCTTATATCTTAGTAATTCTAAGTAATGTTCGTCTCTAAGCTATCTCTCCCAGTTCCTGTTGAGTCATTCTTTGAGGCAACATCGTTAGATTTGTAAATCTGTTTTTCCCTCTACTCTTACTACCTTGAGTATGTCCCATGATTGTCGATATCTGAAAAATTACTTTCCTCATTTTATTCCCAAGAATTTTCAACTCTCTCTTTCTGATTTTCAGTACAAATGTCCATTTTGTTTTTTCATTTTCCTTAAACTTTCTCGTTACACGTATGTTCCATCCATGATATTCGCAGCATCCTTCTGTAGAACCACATAACTATTACGTCAAGTCTACTCTTCACCTGTGAAGAAATTGTCCAGCACTCACTGCCATATAAGAGGATCGGTATTCCATAAATACTTAGCCTTCTTTGCTTCACAGCATAGTCTTCTTTATTTTAATACGGTCACACACACATAGATAGATAGATAGATAGATAGATAGATAGATAGATAGATAGATATTAAGTAATGCTTTGGCATAAAACTCTGAGTTGTGCAATTAATGTAAGATATTATGCATATTCCTTAATATATATATATATATATATATATATATATATATATATATATATATATATATAAATACATATATATATATATTAAATACCTCTGTTACTTTATATTGAGCACTGTTTTTTCTTACACTATAGAATATTTATATTTATTTGTATACGATCTCTCGATCGCATACCTACGTATATTTACCATTTCGGTCTCTCTCTCTCTCTCTCTCTCTCTCTCTCTCTCTCTCTCTATATATATATATATATATATATATATATATATATATTAAAATAATTATATTTTAAGCTCTACTTCTGTATGGAGCACTGTTTTCTTAAGAATAAGAAGAAAAAATACTAAAGAACTCTCGGATTATTTACCTAACGTGTTCTTTCCTACATATCTGCACACACACACACACACACACACACACACACACACACACACACATATATATATATATATATATATATATATATATAAAGTTATGTACATTTTCTTCATTAAATTTTCTCTCAGGTGCTCAGGCCGAAAGACGTAGTAAATACTGTTTAATAAACAGGGCGTCTGTTTAAAATTCGTTTAGCCACTAAAATGGCATTTGAATAAGTAAAACGTCTGATTATAAATAAATCGATGAATTTTTGGGAATACATATATATATATATATATATATATATATATATATATATATATATATATATATATATATATATATATTTATATATGTGTGTGCGTGTGTGTGTATGTCTGTGTGCGCAAGTTTAATTTTAACATAGAAACCAAATTTAGTGAGAAGAAAGGTAAATAAAGAAGACTTCAGAACGACAGTAGATAAAGACTGACGTTTAAATTTTGGATGATTGTAGGTGACAGGAAAGCAAGAAATCGAGCGTTCAACAGGTGAGACGTGTTATAAAAGAAACTATTGGAATGGAACATATGGCTGCATCTACGGTGAGACCTAATTGCCAGCCTTGTACTGCACTTGAAATCATGCAGTCTTGGCACCAAGGGGGATATTTCATCTGAACAATTACCATAAAAATATTTGAACAAAATACAGAAGTAAGCCCCGCCATTATCGGTGATAAAGTGATTAAACTCGAGATGCCAGGTCAGAATCGATAAAACTGCAGACCCTTCATTGAATTTTAAATATTTTTATTTAAGATGGAATCCAACAAATATTCAAGAAAAATGAACGTAGCCAGAATAAAAAACTGACAAAACGTAAAGAAATATTTTTATCTCAAAGAGAATTATCGACGAAATTTAATATTTATTACATTTACACCTTATTCCAGAAATATTTAATAAACTTTCAAGCAAAAAATTATAATTATTAAAAAACGAAGTACATATTCTTGTTCCTATAATACATAAAGTTCAAATAATTTCTACGACAAATTCTAATTTTATGATAAATTATCAACAGTTGTCATAACACATCAATTAAAACAACTTTTAGATAAGAAATAATAACGAATATGAAATTATGAAAATCATAAATTATTAGAAAGTGAATTAGCGTAAAATGGTTTATTTTAATAAACTTTATGGAAAATCTTAATATATTGAAAATTACTGACACAAACTTTGAAAGCCTGAAATTAAGAATGGCTAAATGCATTTGATTTTAAAGTATTCGGTGGACATAGAAAAAGCATCTGGCCTAGTGCTTTCACTGTGTATCTAGAAATTCGTAGTATACAACACATGAGGAAAGTTGGAGAACGCACCAACTGAAAAGACTTGCTCGAAAGAACAATATTGAACGTACGATTCATGAAGGAACGGATAAATATTCTCAAAGCTTCTATTCGTTCAGAACGTGAACGAGATGGATCTGACCGATAATACAAATAGCAAAATAAAATCCAAAGAAGAATCTGTTCGGAAAACTCACTCTGGTCGTTCTGAAAAGAAAAGAACGCTCGATGTTTTGGTGAGGGCCTCAGACTCAACACGGGGGTTTACATCAAGTGCTCTGTGGAGGTAATGTTGCCCTGGGTCAAGAGGGTGGCTGCTGAAATATCCTATTTGCGATACTGGGAAAATGTGGAAATAGCATAAGAGATCTGAACTAGTGGAACTTAAGAATGGGGCTCATTTGAACATTTGCCATGGAAATAGCGATAGAGTGGCGAGAGGCTTAGCTGCGATGGTTTGAACTGGCAGGAACTCAAGAAGAAAGATCATCTGACCATTTGCCATGGAAATAGCGATAGATTAGCGAGTGGGTTAACTGTGGGGGTCTAAACAAGTAGAACTAAAGAATGGAGCTTATCTGACCATTTGCCATTAAAATCGCGATAGATTGGTGAGGGGGTGAGCTGTGGAGGTCTGAACTGTTGGAATTAAAGAATGGAGCACGTCTGAAGATTTGCCATCGAAACAGCCATAGATTAACAGTAGATTTGTGACGTTACATCTGCGGGAAAGAGGCTGAACAGTGGAGTCGTCACCTACAAGATGGCGTAAAAGATTTGATGCCTTTCATGGTAGGGAAGTAATTATCGAACAGCCCCTGTCCAGGCATGGTAGCCATGCTTCATTTTTTTTATGCAATCTGACTTTGATAAAGCATGACGAAAAGAATCAGGCATTTCAGGGAGTGTTGTGCCATAGTACCTATTCTTTGGTAATGAACTCTCCCATAGATAATAAGTAGGAGTGGCAAGTCTGCAGAACGGTGTTGAGAACGTCAGTCGAGATTCGGACATTTGAAGTACCAACCATCACAACTAGATTTGCTGCGTCATTGACTATTGTTTTCCAAGTTCCTAACGTTTTGTACGACTTATTAGAAATACAAGCCTCCACTGTGAAAATACTCCACAACAGGGAGAGAGTGAGAGAATAAGCCGATCATTTTCCCCGTAATTCAAACCCTGAAAGCGAGTAGAGTACATTGTTTGAATAGCCTTCATGAAATCATTAAATTTATGAATATTAATCCGAATATTTAATGAAGGTACGTAGTATACAACACATGAGGAAAGTTGGAGAATGCACCAGCTGAAAAGACTTGCCCGAAAGAACAATATTGAACGTACGATTCATGAAGGAACGGATAAATATTCTCAAAGCTTCTATTCGTTCAGAACGTGAACGAGATGGATCTGACCGATAATACAAATAACAAAATAAAAGGTTTTTTTTTTTAAGCATTTCATTCCAAGCAAGGCGGGATACCCCTAGCATGCAAGGGGTTACAGAGTCGGACCGAGAGTAAAGAGGCGTGATGGAGGAATGGATGAAGAGAAGGACAGGGAATCGATCAGGCCATCTGGAGATGTCGATTGACATTGAATAGTTGGAGATTATAGCTATCAGGGAAACAAATAATAGGAAGGGAATTCCACAGACGGGAGGTGCGAGACATGAAGCTATTGAAGTAGAAGAGACGGCCACATTTAACCGTTTCGACAGTGAAAGGGTGGGACCGTGATGCCTGCCTAGTAGCACGCTTAAATTCATGCAGTCTTAGAACTCGCGAAAGTCAGAGCAGTTACCGTGAAAGTTATTTGTAGAAAAGACAGAGGTAGGCGACTGAACGTCTGTGAGAGGGCGACTGTAGACGAGATGCCAGATCAGGACCAATAACATTGCATGTCCCTCTCTGGATTTTAATGAATAATAATAATTGAAATCGCACTCAGAATAATGACAGGTTCACATATTGTCTAGTTCACACTCCTTCCCGGTCTTTTGAACAGCATTAGAGGTTTATCCCTTGTTTCCTGTTTAGGATTGGGTTTCCGGTTCCTTCTAAATTCTACCACAGTTCTATACTCTTAAAGCTTGTTTTTCCTACTCTAAAGTAAATCCAAATAGTAACCTTGTACATTGAGTAGATTTGGGATCTTGTATTGGGCAAACATTCGTATAAATAATATTTAATTCCCAAGCTTGTCGACAAGCCTGAGAAGGCCAATGAAGCGTTCGGCCGAAACGGAAAAAGGAATAAAGATAAGGATATTAGTCAGAGTAATTTACGGAATGATAGTTTAATTTGGTGATCTTATACGCTTGGGTCTTACTTATAGAAACACAAACAGGGACCCTCGACGTGGTGTAATGGTTAACAAGCTTGTCTCCCTAAAACAGTTACGACAGAATAGTGAGTTCGATCCTCACTGGGTGCTCTACACTTTCGGCCTTGTGCCACATCTAAGCTAAGCTAACAAAATAAAGGGCATCTCGAGGCGGTGTAATATTTAGAAAGCTTGTCTCGTTAAAACAGTTACGACAGAATAGTGAGTTCGATCCTCACTGGGTGCTCCACACTTTCGGCCTTGTGCCACATCTAAGCTAAGCTAACAAAATAAAGGGCTAATCGAGGCGGTGTAATGGTTAGCAAGCTTGTCTCCCTAAAACAGTTACGACAGAATAGTGAGTTCGATCCTCACTGGGTGCTCCACACTTTCGGCCTTGTGCCACATCTAAGCTACGCTAACAAAATAAAGGGCATCTCGAGGCGGTGTAATGGTTAGCAAGCTTGTCTCCCTAAAAGAGTTACGACAGAATAGTGAGTTCGATCTTCACTGGAAGCTCTACACTTTCGGCCTTGTGCCACATCTAAGCTAAGCTAACAAAATAAAGGTCATCTCGAGGCGGTGTAATATTTAGAAAGCTTGTCTCGCTATAACAGTTACGACAGAATAGTGAGTTCGATCCTCACTGGGTGCTCCACACTTTCGGCCTTGTGCCACATCTAAGCTAAGCTAACAAAATAAAGGGCTAATCGAGGCGGTGTAATGGTTAGCAAGCTTGTCTCCCTAAAACAGTTACGACAGAATAGTGAGTTCGATCCTCACTGGGTGCTCCACACTTTCGGCCTTGTGCCACATCTAAGCTACGCTAACAAAAATAAAGGGCATCTCGAGGCGGTGTAATGGTTGCAAGCTTGTCTCCTAAAAAAAGAGTTACGACAGAATAGTGAGTTCGATCTTCACTGGAAGCTCTACACT